TCCTTGCACTACTAGGCTCTTACCTGGCTCATCAACCCCTCTTTCCACTTTACTCTGTCATCACTTACCTTGTCTTCAGAACTCATCTCCTGGCTAACTCCAGTATTGATCATTTTTTCATATATCATCAGATTGTTCTTGTTGATAATATACTTTTGTAATTGACCTAACTTAGTGTTATGTTTCAGATGTTTGGCATTTATCTCACATCTATGACTGTACCTCCTTTTATTTTTTATAAATCCTTCCTCCTACTCTTTCCACTGAATAGGACCATTTTCTGCACCCAATTGAGCTTTCAATAAATGCTATATAATGAAGGTAGAGGTGGTGCCAGGAGCAGTCTCTACCTCTGGATTTCCAGACATTCAGAAAATTTTTGTAAACACCAGGGACACCCCTCTGATTCCAGACTGTTTAACTGGAAGCTGTTACTTTCCGGATTCCAGTTGCAGATAACAGCCAGTGGTTTCTGGCTTCATATAAGCTCTGTTAGTCCAAAAGGGCTTTTTAGGCAGTTAACAAATCTCCTTAATAACCCATTTAGAGACTTTTTTTCACTGTTGTTTTTACACTTCCTTAATTATTCTTGAATTTATCAATTTTTTTGTGATGAAAATGTTTTAATGCAATATCTCCCCACTTTATTATTAAATATTTTTCAAGATCTGGTCCTAATTTTCTTTTTTTTTTTTTTTTTGTGAGGGGGAGAAGACAACACTGGGCAAAGAGTACTGTATCCATTAGAGTTCAGTTTAGCTCTCAGTAATAGGAACTCCAAGCAAACAATAGCTAAACAAAATTAAATATAAATTCACATAAATGTGTAGAAGGAGGTAAGTTTTCCAGGAGTAGTATAGTGCTTTGATCCACAAAGCTCTTATAGACCCAGATTCCATCAAGCACCTTGTTCCTCCATCCCTCAGTGATCTCAAGTCCAAAATAGCAGCTACTGTTCCAGTCATTACATCTGCATTCCAGACAGCAGGACAGAAGAAGAAACAAAGAGAAAGGATGTCAAAGAACTAGTCCTGTGTCTTATAAGGGAAGCTTCTGGGGATTGTTGCATGACATATCTGCCTATGGACATACTAACAGCGAAAGAAGCTGGGGAAATACTGTGTTTATATTTGCCCAATTAAAAGGGAGTCCAATCCACGTGAAAGGGTGAGGTAGCACACACTGAGGAACACGTAGTTATCTTTGCTATGACTGCCCCATACATTCCTCCGTCATATGAGGGATCTTGGAGTTTATCTCAATACATCCCAATACATTTCAATGTATTATTTCAATATTCAAAACAGTGACTTGTAATCATATTTTTAAAAGATGAATACCTATATGCTGTACAAATTTTTTTAAACCATTAAAAAAACATTAAAATCACCCATGATTCCAGAACCTAAAGATAAATACTGAAACAGCATCATATAAGAAATGTCCTTAACAGTAATATAGAACAAGCAACTTCAGACTACAGAGTATTTACATGTTTTTCAGAGATCTTGGTTATACTGTATACTCAGTTATTACTTCAGTAAACATTATAAAACATCTTTATTCATAGCATCTTGTTAATTCATGTGTGTGGTTGGAAGGGAGAGCAAGGGAGGAGCTTTTAAAAGTTAAATTTGTTGCTCTCACTCTAGTACAGAGAGAAAAGACAAACACAAAAAAAGGCGGAGGACAGGGCACTGTAAGTGCTCTGTTTGTGATAATGTATGTAAAGGCACATTAGAAAGCAGGAAATAAGATAATCATGACATTAGGTATCTTTACTTAATAGTAGAATAATCTGTACTATGAAGAATTGTTTGGAAAAATGACACCTTGAGAAATACACGTTCCTTTTTAGTTGTTAAGAGAATGAAACTTGGATTATAAGTCCTCAGGAGAATCTGAATCGAACACTATTAGGAAATAATCAAGCTCAACACGGTTAAATTCTAACCTCCCTTGGTTCCCAGATTTAGAAGTCCAAAGTTCATCTGGGGATAATTCAGCATGACCTGTACCTTTCCTGAACTTCAGAAATAACTAAAGATAAGTCGGTTGAATTTCTCTGGAAAGTGTGACATGCTTTGTTTTCTAAACCTTGACATTAATGCATTTTAAAAGTTTTGAAGATTAATTAAAAAAATTAAGCTTTCTAAGGAAAACGCTTAAGTGGGAAAATTAGCTATGTTAAGACATACACAGAAAAACAAGAGCTATACCAAAATCCTAACAATTGCCACTAGGTGGTGAGATATGAGTGACTTTTTCTTTAAATGGTTTGTGCATAATAAGATTTTTAAAAATTCCTTTTCGTGTTCTTATTAAAATTGAAGTATAGTTGCTTTACAATATTATACTAGTGTACTGTATTTATATATGTGTGTACAGCATAGGTTTTGGTGGGTTTTTTTTTAAGCAAGGTGGTTTTCAAACAGTTTTTTTTTAAGAAACGTTCAGTCGTGGCAAAGGCCCAGCGGAGATCACTGTTAAGGGATAACTCTGGTGTGCAGAGCCGGGCTGGGGACCCGTGCGCGCGGGGGGCGGCGCTGAGACCCCGCCGTGAACAGTGGGGCCCTTTGTGCCCCGACTTGCTCAGGTGGCCCAGAGCCGAGGCCGCTAGTTGCCACAGCAGAAAACACACTCTTTCACGAGGAAGGGACCGGTGCGACAGAGACAGAGTCTCTTCTGTGAGACGTTTAAACTGCCGGCTTTATTTTGACTCTTGGCAGAGCTGGCAAGAAGAACACACGTTCTAGAAAGCTCCGGGCTTCCTGCTTGCAGTGCGAACGCCGGACGAGCGGCTCAGTGTGCGGGGGTGGGGTCGCCGGGCCGCTGAGACCTCATTGGTGCGGCCCCGGCCTATGGCGTGTGCGCCCGGCCCGCTGCCCAGTCTCCCGGTGTCCACCCTCCTTCCCTGAAGGGTGGAGAGCCTGGGCCCGCGAGCTGGAGTGCAGCAGGCCAGCCGGCGAGAGCGCAGCGGGCGCCCGGTAGGTGTGCGGCCGGCAGGCGGGAGGGCGGCAGGGGCTCCCCCCGGGGCTCAGTCCCCCGGCAGCGCCGGGGCGGGCGGCAGGGGGAGGGCTGGCCCAACAGCTTAGAATCTACCTGTCCCAAGCCTGCAGTTTTTCTTTGCTTATGGAGTTTCAGACAGCACTGGAAACAGGTCTGGCTGCATACTTTGAGTGAGCATGTTGTCCTTGTGGAGTTAAAAAGGAAAGAAAGAAGACACACTCTCTTAGCTGGAGCACAAGTTTTCCGGCGCCTCGCTCCTCGTCAGCGTACCCTTCCTTAGATCAGAAAATGTTTGCTGCTGAGCACCTCTTTCCAATAGAATTCTTTATCCACGTGCCTTAGAATTGAAATCTTATTCACAAATTTTAACAGCTAAAACAACTTAATGGCGTTTTAAATGACGATACGAAGGGTACTTTTTATTCCTCTGGCAGTTTTCTTGTTTGTACTTTTCTTTCCAACATTTTAGAGAGAAGCGGGCAGATGGAGGCAAAAGGTTTGTTCAGAGCATTCACACTGTGGGGTGTCACATGTGGCGCTGCTGAGTGTGGGAAGCACAGACCAGCAGTCCAGACTGCTGCAAGTACCTGGGCCTTGAGGCGGTCAGGGGGGCTTTTATGCCCAGGCGAGGAGTAGCCATAGGGCTCCCCTTCTGGCTCAGAAGGTGAAGAGTCTGCCAGTGATGCAGGAGATCAGGCTTGGATCCCTGGGTCAGCAAGATCCCCTGGAGAAGGGAATGGCTTCCCACTCCAGCATTCTTGCCTGGAGAATCCCATGGACAAAGGAGCTTGGTGGGCTACAGTCCATGGGGTCACAAACAGTCGGACAGCACTGAGCAACTAACACTAGAGGTAGGGGTACCGATGGCTTTTCAGTCACTACTTCGGGATCCTTCCCATAACACTCAGATGCAGATCTTGTTATCATGACTCTAGGAAAACACATTGCTTAATCCTACAATGTAAACAAAAGCAACCTTGGTTTTCAGTTTGAAATGCATAGCTCAGGTCAGCAGCAAGATCTGTGCCTTGAAAGTTTCATATTTCCTTTTCTGAACATTTGGTTCAGCCAGAAGTAGCATTTATCGAATGCCGCATGGTGCAGTGTTTGGAGTGTTTGCCCTTATTTTCATTCTCCCTTTGCGTCTGTTGGGAGCCATCACAAATACAAAACAAGGTATTCTTGAAACAGTGGATGTTTTGTCCAGAAGAAGTCGGGGGGGGGGGGGGGAACAAAAACAAAACCAACTTCTCCTCTGTTGGGATAGAATTTGTTTTGTTTTTAAATAGGAAGCCACAAAATATAGTTGTAGTCTATCCACAAACTGTCCTTGCCCCCTTGCTGCTGGAGTTAGTCACTCAATGTCCCATGTGCCCCAGCGTTCTCTGCAAGGAAGGTGTCTAGGCAAATTGTGATCTTGTAGGGGTGGTCAGGCTCTGGGGTACCTCAGCCACTGTTTATATATTCCAAAAGAGCAGTAGGTGGGCGAACTCATGTCCAGGCTTCCTGGCTGTCCACCGACTTGGTCTGTTATTTTAAGACTTCTCACTTTTTCTGCCTCAGAGTGCACTTTATAAAATAGCAGTCTTAGTGACTGCTATACTTCAAGGGATTGTAGACAGAAAATGAAATTATCTACTTGAAAATGCTTTCAAGTCTTCAATGATTCTTTAAAAAACTCAAGTACTTGGTAAGGACTTACTGTGTTCCTGGCTCTTAAAAATCATTTTCTCATTACATTCTTTTAACAGCCTTATGATTTAAATACTTGTATTTCCATTTGTACTCAGAGGTGAACTGAAGTTCTGAGAGGTTTGTTAACACCCATTTGTTAAGTTGTAGATTCAGGATTAGAACATAGATTTGTCAGCTCTTAAATCATATTTGCTTACCGTGCTACAACATACACAAATACTAGTTTTTTTCCTTGTGTGTGTTAATGGCATTATTATAATCTCCTCTCTCTCTCTCTCTCTCTCTCTCTCTCTTAGGAAAAACAGATGATATTCTGAATGGAGAACAAGACAGGGAACAAAAAGATCCTTATTTTGTGGAGACCCCCTATGGTTATCAGCTAGACTTAGATTTCCTCAAATATGTGGATGATATACAGAAAGGAAACACCATCAAGAAAGTGAACATCCAGAAGAGGCGGAAGCCATCTGGGCCATGCCCAGACTCCAGGGCTGCACCTGGCCAGCACAGCGTGTGGACTTCCACTGAATCCCTCTCATCCTCCAACAGTGATGACAACAGGCAGTGCCCTAAATTCCTCCTAGCCCGAAGCCAAGTTACATCAACCCCAATCCCAAAGCCATCTGCCCCTCTGGAGACCTCTCCCACTTTTCTTACCATCCCCGAAAGCCGACAGCTGCCACCACCATCACCACAACTCCCAAAGCACAACCTTCATGTCACCAAGACACTGATGGAGACCCGGAGAAGACTTGAGCAGGAGAGAGTCACCATGCAGATGGCACCTGGTGAGTTCCGAAGGCCCAGGCTGGCCAGTTTTGGAGGCATGGGCTCTACCAGCTCCCTTTCCTCCTTTCTGGGTTCTGGAAACCACAATCCCACCATGCCCCAGCTTCAGAATGGATACCAAGGCAATGGGGATTATGGTGGCTATGCCCCAGCTGCTGCCACCACCTCCTCCATGGGGAGCTCCATCCGTCACAGCCCCCTGAGCTCAGGGATCTCCACTCCAGTGACCAACGTGAGCCCCATGCATTTGCAGCACATCCGTGAGCAGATGGCCATTGCCCTGAAGCGCCTGAAGGAGCTAGAAGAGCAGGTGCGAACCATCCCTGTGCTCCAGGTGAAGATCTCTGTCCTGCAAGAGGAGAAAAGACAGTTGGCATCACAGCTGAAAAACCAAAGAGCGGCATCCCAGAACGATGTCTGTGGTGTGAGAAAGCGGTCCTACAGTGCTGGGAATGCATCCCAGCTGGAACAGCTGTCCAGGACCCGGAGGAGTGGTGGGGAATTATACATTGATTACGAGGAGGAAGAAATGGAGAGCGTGGAGCAGAGCACCCAGAGGATAAAAGAATTCCGGCAGCTCACAGCAGACATGCAGGCCCTGGAGCAGAAGATCCAGGACAGCAGCTATGAGGCCTCCTCAGAGCTCAGGGAGAATGGGGAGTGTCGGCCTCGAGAGTTCCGGTCTGTGGCTGTGGGCGCCAATGAGGACATGAACGACATTGTCGTGTACCGCAGGGGTGCCAGGTCCTGTAAGGATGCCGCCGTAGGCATGGTCACTGAGACGAGGAATTCTGGGGTCAGTGTGACAGAAGCCATGCTTGGAGTGACTACTGAAGCTGACAAAGAAATTGAGCTGCAGCAACAGACTATAGAAGCCTTAAAGGATAAGATCTATCGCCTGGAAGTACAGCTTAAAGAAACCACCCATGACCGGGAGATGACTAAACTCAAGCAAGAGCTGCAAGCTGCTGGCTCAAGGAAAAAAGTTGATAAAGCCGTGATGGCCCAGCCGCTTGTCTTCAGCAAGATGGTGGAGGCAGTGGTACCCACCAGAGACCAAATGGCTGGCAGTCATGTGGATGTGGTTGACACATGTGTGGGAACATGTGTGCAGACAAGTAATGTAGGCATCTCCTGCCAGCCCGATCATGAGAATAAAGAGGTGGGGCCTGAGCTGCCCATGAATTGGTGGATTGTTAAGGAAAGGGTGGAAATGCATGACAGATGTATTGGGCGGTCGGTGGAAATGTGTGACAAGAGCGTAGGTATGGACATCAGTGTCTGTGAAACGGGCAGCAACACGGAGGAGTCCGTAAATGACCTGGCACTCCTCAGGACCAACCTGAATCTCAAAGAAGTGCGCTCCATCGGCTGCGGAGATTGTTCTGTTGATGTGACCATCTGCTCTCCAAAGGAGTGCACCTCCCGAAGTGTGAACACAGAGGCTGTCAGCCAGGTGGAAGCTGCCATCACGGCAGTGCCTCGAACTGTGAGCCGGCACACCAGCACAGTTCTAGAACAGGTGAGCCAGTTCACCAACACTGAGATGGCCACGCTCACAGAATCCTGTACCAACACTTCCCTAAGCACCGTGGACAAGCAGACCAACACCCGCACGGTGGAGATGCGGACGGTAGCCGTGGGCGAAGGCCGGGTCAAGGACGTCAGCTCCACCAAGATGCGGTCCATCGGAGTGGGGACTGTACTCTCTGGCAATGCTGGGTTTGACAGGCCATCAGCTGTGAAGACCAAAGAGTCAGGCGTGGGGCAGATCAGTATTAACGACAACTATCTGGTTGGCCTCAAAATGAGGACCATAGCATGTGGTCCTCCCCAGTTGACAGTGGGGCCGACAGGCAGCCGGAGGAGTGTAGGTGTTGGGGACGAGCCTGTAGGAGAGTTCGTGGAGAGCCCCCAGCCTCAGGCACCGTCTGGAATGGAGACAGGCTTGGATCACTACATCGAGCGTGTCCAGAAGCTGCTTGCGGAACAGCAGGCGCTGCTGGCTGAGAACTACAGTGAACTGGCAGAAGCTTTCGGGGAACCTCACTCACAGATTGGCTCCCTCAACTCCCAGCTCATCAGCACTTTATCATCAATCAACTCTGTCATGAAGTCTGCAAGCCTTGAAGAGCTCAGGCACCCTGACTTCCTGAAAACCAGCTTGGGTAAGGTCACAGGTAGGTGGTACTTCTGAGGGACCTAGCAGTCAGGGAGGGCGGGGACAGTGGAAATCCAGGAGGGTTTTTTTTTTTTAACTGCTACCAATTTTTGGAACCATGGAGAAAACTTTAGAATGGTAATAGGTAGAATAAAAACCAAGAATCTAAACTCTGGTGATTCTCATTATCTGATAGTTTCGTTCCCCTGGCTGAGGACTAAGACTAGAAGAAGAAAAGCAAACTAGTGTTGGCTGGCTTAGGGGCTGTCTTCTGAGGCTGCTAGTTTGATAGATGTCTTTTAGTTATTAGTTGCTGGTTTTACACAGGGCAGCCTGAAAAAAAAAAGTCTTGCACTGTTTTTAACCACAATTACCTGTATACAATCAATAAAAAAAATACCAGTATGAAGTGTTTTTAACTGAAACTTTTAGGGGAGAGAGACTCTGTCAATTCATGCAGATTCATTAATTCAGCAAATAATGATTAAAATTCCTGCTCTGTTTTAAGTATAGATATGGGGTCCTGTTCTCATAGTGCTTACATTATTCCAGTTGGGGCACAGGCAATAAAAATATACTTAAATATGTCAGGAAGTGATACATGTTAGGAAGAAAAGAACTCCATTTAGAGAAACAGTGAGTGATGGCGGAGAGGTGGGGACTGCTGGAGATAGAATGGTCCAGGAAGGCCTCCCTGACAGGAAGCCAGAACTCTGAGAGAAGGGAGGCCTTTCCAACACTGTTTCTTTTGATAGAGGCTTACATTTTTTGTCTTTCTCTTATTTTCCCTTGTTCATTGGGATTCCTGTTCACTCTTGCTTTTCTTTAAATTGAAGTCTACAATGAAGAAATTACCCTGGAAGATTTGGTGACACAGACTGTGAGCCACACTAAAATGAGCTCTCTTGTCAGTTGTATGTGGTTCTCATTGCGCATATTATCATCCTACCACTGAGTTCCATTCCTGGCTCTTCACCTCTCACGAACCGATGTGACTTAGGGAAGGAAAGTCATCCTTCTTCATACTTCATTGTGAAATGGTCATTTGAAGGGCATCCATCCCATAAGATTTTCAGTGTTCATCACTGGCTTACAGTGAGCACAGGGGCCTTTGTTGTCCTTGGGGTAGTGCTGCTGGCGTGCCAGTCTGGTTTCTTTTGTTGACACGCTAAACAGTAGTGTGAGGTTTGCAGAGTTACTAAAAGCACACTCTCTGCTCTAGCCAAGTGCTACACATAAAATGAATTAAAATGCTTCAAATGATTGGTTTTGTGTGCATTAAATTTAATTTTATGTGAAAACATGCAGCAGAGACTTAAATATAAGTTAACAAAAATTTCAAATTCTTTGTTTCCCTCTATAGCCAAAAAGGCAATGGTTAACATAGACTAAAATAGATTATTTTTTTTCACAGTTTTTTCAAAATAGAGTATTTTTATATCTTCTAAGGTTTCACCTGCAAACCTGAATTACTGTTAGTTTTTAGTAACTGTGCTGTGAAACAGATAGCCAACTGTGGAGGGAAAAATGAACATGACAGTGACAGCTGATGTATAACAGATTTTTGCCTTTTGGAATCAAGAGCCTAATGAATATACAGGGAGTCATTTTAGTTAGGGTAAAGGGATTAAAATGATGTGTGAACTGAAGCAAGGTCTTAAGTAACTAATAATATGTCTGTTTCCACTACTTTTTAAAAATCATGATGTCAGATGTTAAAGTCAAAATGAGACTCTTAAATACCTCCAGACACAGATGGTATAGCACATCATCCATTGTAAGAGCGTTTTCCTGTCAGCTTTCCTCCCTCCTCCCCAAACCAGGGTTTCTATTTCACATTCTTGCCAGAAATATTCAGCTGTATCATTGGTGTAATCCGCCTGATACCCGGAGCATCAAGACTCGGGTGGAGGTTTTGTCTGGCTGTGTTGCAGTGTTTTTTGGTCTATTTCCAGTCACACTGACATTCCAGACATCACTGTTTAGATCTGACCCTGCACATGAACACCTAATTAATCAGCTAAAATGCAGGAAACCTACAACATTCATGAACAAAACATAAATATTTTTCATAGCACTTATTTGATCATAGTGGCAGCTCCCTCTTGGAGCATGCAAGAGCAACTTTAAAGTATTTCTGTAATTCCCAACACATTTGTATTTTGCTTTAAAGTTCTAATGAAGGAGCATGACAACGACAACTGATGCACAAGTATACTCCCGCTTATTATGCACCCTGAACACTACAGAATATTGCTCATGTCCAATCTAGAATACATTTTGGTATATAAATGATCACTTATGTGAACCTAGTATTTGAGTTTGAAGAATTTATATTTGGGCTCCAAAGCCAGGTGTTCTGGGTTCGAATTCCTTCTCGTCACTAGGACAGGTTGTCTTTGTTCCTTCACAGGGTTGAAATGAATCTTTAGTGAATCAGTATGAATGAAGCATTTGGAATAGTCTGCAGCACAAAGTATAAATGCTGGCTGTCCTTGCTGTTAACTGTTTTCCATACTTACAAAAATGGAAAGGTAGGTCTAGAACAAACTGCCAAACAAACATGTTATGAATAGTCTTTTGTGTTTAATGCAGATTTTTGTCTTCATAATTCTGCCTAGCCGTCGCCTTCCCCTGCCCCCCATTATTATACCTCTCCAGGTAACACTTTTATCAAGATAAAGAACTACAACAATGAGAAAACACAAAAAGACAAGAATAAATTTTCAATTCAGATTCTTCCGTAATCTGTGTCAAAGTTCAAAGTGAAGCCCCAAATCAAACTAGGTGTATATTAGTACCAAGCCCAGAGAATCCTCTTCAGTTTTCCAAGGGTGGAAGATTGGAAGGTACAACTTTTTAATATGCAAAATAGCATTATTTTAACAGCATGATAATAATGCTTAGCACTCCTGTTCAGCTTCTTGAAGTTGTAACTGGAGTGTGTGTTTATAACAAGTTGACCGTTCAGAAGAACACAAAATACTGAGAGCCTCCCTTGTCCTGTCACGGGGTAACCCCTTGTGTTTGGTGTGTTCAGGGATGCAATTCTGTATTTCAGAGAAATCATTTTTTGGTATTTGAATCATATATATTGGCCTATGTATTTTTCACATGAAACATCACAGACTTTTTTTTTTCAGAATTTGAGAGATAATGTCACAGTTTTGATGCATCTGAATTTGATCATAATCAAAGATGATCTGTAAAGTACTTTTATTTTTTTTTTATTTTTTTTTTGTAAAGTACTTTTAATGTATTTAATATTTTCTTTCATGGAATAAAAGGTTAAGAGGAAATAAGTTTCTCAGAAACCTCAGGAAAAACATGTTTATTCTTTCTGTGAATCAGCTGGATCGTTTTGGTTTGAGGAGTGGGTTACTTTTTCTTTCTTTCTTTCTTTTTTACCTCTGGCAAGAGGAGAGAGAATATTCTAGACAAATGACTTGCAGTTTACAAATACTCTAAAAATATGTGACTGTCTCTGAGCAAATAACAGAACTATCTTTAACTGTGGAACTTAACTGCCTGCCACATGATTTATAGAAAATTCATTTCTCATACTCAAATAAAAGAACTGCTTTTTAAATCAGCTTCCATATTTGCACTCTTAGTTATCTTGGGTTTGCTAAAGAAAAAAATTTATGAACTTGAAGTCATTCCCGTAACTGTGAAAACAATTCTGTAGACAGAGATCTGAGCCAAGGCAAAAAAGGGAAAATAAGGTCATTACAAAATATCATTTCTAGTTAGTTTTCTTAGTTCAAATCATATACCATTTACTGGTCCCAGTACCTCTCTTCAAAATGGCAATTTTCTTTTAGTAATGCTATAAGAGCATTGAATAATCCAAACCAAATGTTTCTGGAACATTGTGTGTGAGAGCATGATGTGAAAGTCTTCTGACCCAAAGGTCAGAGAGCTGATGTCTGGTACTAGTTGCCCAAGAACTTGCAGTCACACCTGGGGTGAGCAGTGTTGGGCTGCCGTGTCCTCCTGTGTCATGAGAGGGTAGGTTTAGATTTTTCTTGCATGGGTCACTTTTAGCAGAATTACTCTATAAAATTAGCTCTTCACCAGGCTGCCCATCAGATTCATCTGAGGAAAAAATTAGGGTTAGGGTTTTGGGTTTTTCCCCCAAATTTGTGATTTTCTGCTGCCACCCACTGCTGCCACTCAATAAGGCACACTCAGGTCCTATTTCCAGGAAATATTGTGGAATAAACAGCCTTAAAGTGAGTGTTATTAATCTGGGCTCCATAGCTTCATGAAATAGTTTTGTGTTTGGAATTTTTGTAAAGAAAGTGCATAATTTTTATCAGACTCTGAAAAGGGATAGCTGACTACCCCCAACCTGCCCCTCCAATGCCCAGATTGAAATTACAGACCTAGGACATCTGTTACTGACCTTGGGAAAAACACTGCAGCCCTGAGAAAAATCTTTTATAAAGATGTAAAATCGGTCCACCCCCCTTGTGAGCCATTCAGTTGACTCTTGTTTGAAAATAATTTCTTAGAAACTGATGCTTTATCATTTTAGATGAGTATTAGTGAAATAAGTATATGCACTCTGGGAAAAGATGCAAGCTTACTTTGACACTTCTACTCTGAATGAATCTGTGAAGTATGCAGTTCATTTCTGGCTAAAGCATAGAGATAGGTGGTTTTTAAGAACAGAAGTGGCATTAAGTTCCTGGATGTCCATTCATAAATGCTGAAGGAAATTGTTGGTAATGGTTGATGGTTACAATCATTGGTTCTCCCTTCAATCAGCAAGTCATTTGTATCTCAGTAAACATATTTAAAGTTTGCTCTGTCCCCATCTCTATTCAGATCAGTTAATAGCTATGAATTCGTTGTCACCCATATGCAAAGTGTGGTACTGAAACAGAGAGAGAGAGTGGTGTAAGCCTTGAACTTGCAATCCAGTTGGGAAGCAAAAAACACGTATACCAGAAATATGAATGATAACCTATGGAGGTATATGTTAGCCACCAAATAATGTGAAAATAAAAGTTCTTGA